TCCCTTTGGCACAGAACCCTGGGGGTTGAACCATGTACACCTCCTCCTCCAAGTCACCATTTAAGAAGGCATTCTTTATATCCAACTAGTTCCCAATCAAGGTTTGCAGCCAATGATAGAAGAACCCGAATTGAGTTCATCTTAGCTACTGGAGCAAGTGTCTCATCATAGTCAAGACTTGATTGTACCCTTTTGCTACCAACCTTGCTTTGTACCTTTCAACTGTTCCGTTCGCCTTGTGTTTCACTGTAAACACCCACTTGCACCTTACTAGGTCCTTCCCCCTTAGAAGATCTACCAACTCCCAAATCTGGTTCTTATGGAGAGCATTAATCTCCTCCTTCATAGCATTTGTCCATTTAGGGTATTTTAAAGCCTTTGCAACATTTTTGGGTATAAGTATGTTATCAACTGCAGATAGGAAAGCACGATAAGAGGGGGAAATGTGGTCATAGGAGACATACTGGGTAATGGGGTATTTGGTAGTGCATGATCCTAACTCCCTTTCTTTGAGCAATAGGGATGTCAAGGTCATCCACAACTAAGGAGGGAGCTGGGGTATCAACAGGTGGGATAGTACCTAGTTCATTTGGACTTACCTCCTAGGAGTCTGAAGGTGTCGGTTGCTCAGTGTTTGCTGGCTCCACATCTTTGTCACATTGCTGATCTCTACGGCGTATACGTTGGAAGACACGAAAAGGAGTAGGATCCGGAATAGAAGGAAGAAAGACTTGACCGACCTGGACATGCTTCTCCTCTTCCACACTACTCTCCCCCTGAGGGGAATCAGGGAAGAATGGTTCAAACTCAAAAAAGGAGACATCCATAGAGACAAAGAACTTATGATCAATGGGATTAAAGCACCAGTAACCCTTTTGAGTAGAGGGATACCCCAGAAAGATACATGGAATAGAACGAGGGTCTAACTTGCCATGAGACGGAGATAAATCGTGGACAAAAGCACGACAACCTAAAACTCTCATGGGAATGGAAAACAAAGGAGATTGGGGAAACAACAACTGATGAGAGGCCTTGTAGTTCAGCACTTTGGAAGGTATGCGATTGATGACATAAGCAGTAGTTAACACAACATCTATCCAAAAACGTTTTGGTACATTTATCTGTAACATCATCCCTCGTGCAACCTCAAGGAGGTGTCTGTTCTTTCTCTCTGCAACACCATTTTGTTGTGGTGTTCTTGCACATGAGCTCCTATGAATGGATCCATGGGAAGCAAAGAACTCATTGAGCTCACCATGGAAATACTCCTTTGCATTATCTAATTGAAAATTTTGAATTTCAACATGAAATTGTATAAACACCATCCTCTGGAAATCCCGCAAAACCTTTGGAACTTTGTCTCTACTACGCATGGGAAACACCCATGTATAACGAGAGAAATCATCAATCATTGTGATAAAGTACTTATACCCGCCCTTCGAAGTTATAGTAGTTAGGCCCTAGTGCGCCCGAGATGCGTCATCAAACACCCGAGACACCAGTTTAATAATTTATATTTTTCCAATCCTCAAAACTAAATAAAGAACGTAGTTTAGTGGTGAGGAAGGGGTCGAATCCTCAGGGAAGCAAGGTTAAAAATTATTATTTTGTTCCGGACAAATAAGAAAAAGAAAACAGATTTGGGATTTGTAGAAAATAAAATTTATTAAAACTGAAATTAAATATTCAGAATTGAAAAAGACACGAAATTAAATTCAAAAATTAAATAAAACTGAAATTAACAAGAAAATAAATAAAAATATGCTGAAATTCGGGTCCAGTGGCGGTAGCTTTCTGGGAAGACAAATTGCAAGCCCTCCTCCGTTCAGCCCTCGAACCCCTCGAAACACCTTAGCCTTGAACTGGGCAAATTCAGATCTGCAAAAGACAAAGAAAAACAGAAATTAAATCAAACCAAAATCGAAAATTGTAGAAATTAAATTGCTAGAAAAACTGAATAACAAAAAGAAAGAAAATAAAACAAAATAAAAATGGTGGATCAACTCCAGTGGCGGTAGTTGCAGGTTGAACGAACTGGTTGCAGGAACCCCTCCTGACAAGAATTGGGTGTTCTCCTTCCTGTAACCCTTGAATCCCTCAAGAAGCCTTGGCCTTGTGAACTGGGCTAACCAACCCCTTCTCCAAGGCCCTTGGGGTCCTTTTTATAGAGAAGGGTGGACAAAACTGAGATTAGAGAGAAAGAGAGGGGTGGCTAGTGGGTTTATGCAGAAAATGGGCGCCTATAATTATGGAGGGCTGGGATTTAAGCTCCTAGGATTGAATGGTGGAGATTTGGGCGCCTAGGGCCAAAAGGTGGAGATTAAAAGGAGTGGGTGGTGCCCTAGGGTGAGTGGCTGAGATAGAGAGTGAAATAGAGGGCTGAGATCTAGTGGCTAAAGGCTGAATGGTGGGGATTAGGAGTTAGGTGGCGCCCTGGGATGGAGGGTGGAGATTGCAAGGTGAAGATCTAAGGGTATGAGAGGTTGCTAAGGCTTGGATGGTTGAGATTAGATGTTAAGGAGGAGTGGAAGGTGAAGATTTAGCAGTTAGGGGCGGCTAGGGTTTGTTAGAGGCGAAAAGAATGAGTGGGGAGGTGCCCTAGGGTTTGCTAAGGAGAGGGGAGTATGCTAATATAGTAGGAGGGGCACCTTTCTAGGTTTAGCAGATAGGAGGCGCCCTTCTGTGCTCAGTTTTTCATAGAAACACCCTCTCTCTCAGCTGGAATTCTCACCAGCTTCCCAAAATCTGTAGAAAACTCTATAAATTTCCCAGTTTTTACCCAGAATTTGCAAAGGGACCCTTAGAGGTCACAACATTGAATTTAACCGGAAAAAGGGTACAGATTATTCAGTCTAAGGTCAAAAATACCCCTAAAATGATCCCTTAAGGCATCAAAATATAGAGTTATCAGGCCCCCACATATCAGAATACACAATATGGAAAGGGAAATTTGATCTTTTATTACTTGAATGAAATGTTGTTCTACATCGCTTCCTCAACTGACATATTTGACACTGGAAATCTAATACTGAACATGACTTAAATAAATGCGGAAACAAAGACTTCATTATTTCAAAAGACACATGACCTAACCGGTTATGCCACAAAAAAAAAATGACTCTTATTTGACTGACTAAGCGACTCTGAAAATGACACCAAGAAACTAGCCTTGTTATCGAGAGTGTAGAGACCATCCACTAAGCTTCCTCTACCAATCGTCCTCCCAGAAGTTAGATCCTGAAAAACACATGAACCAGAAAAAAAGGTCACACTGCAATTTAAAGAGTTTGTGATACTACTAATGGAAAGCAGATTGATGGGAAGTTGAGGATCATGCAAAACATTATTCAAGTTAAGTCCATGAGGAAGGGATATTGATCCTTGGCCTACAATGGAGGAGAATGATCCATCTGCAAGTCTCATCTTATCCCTTTCTAACAAAAGGTTATAAGATTGGAAAAGGTTTGGCTTACCAGTCATGTGGTTGGAGGCCCCTGAGTCAATGATCCAGGGGGAATCAGGGGCAATGGATACATGGAAGGCAGAGGCTGCATTACCTGATGTAGATGCAAATGAAGTAGAAGGGGTACCAGTGACTAAACTGTCCATCTGGCGCAAGGCCCTACCCTATGATTCCAAGTGATTTCGGAAGGAATTCATGATATCTTTCTTGGGATCAGAACCAGTGAAGTACTCCCGAGCAATACCAGTCAACACTCCACCAGACTGAGTATCATGGGTTGCCACATTATGTACTGTATTAGGCTTCTTCTAACCCTACACCTTACCTTGTTCTTGGTTCTTTACAGCCCACTTTGGCCTCCCATGGAGCTCCCAACATGTGTCCCGTGTATGTCTTGAACGTCGGCAGTGGCTACAGAACAACTTATCCTTATTACCAGTTTTCTTGGAGTCATTTTTCTTTCCCATATTGTTACCACCCATTACAGCTAATGCCACCTGTTTCTCCCCCTCAGTTGTAACCATCACACTCCTACTTTCCTCAGATTGAACCAGGGCATAAACTTCTTGAACTAAAGGCAACTCTTTACTCCCCAGAGTTATGCTCTGATACCATCTTTTCTTTCTAGAAGAGAGAGGAGAGAGAGGAGAGAAGAGAGAAGAGAGATACAAAGAGAAGAGAAGAGAAAAGTATTTGAGAGTCAAAAACTGAAGCTGGCAGCTCCCAGCCTCCTATTTGTATTAACATGATGTAAAATAAAAGAAACAGAAATTACAAGCATGCCCCTAGTGGCTCACCCTAATAATAAGAACTTAAACAAAGAAAAGAACATGCTGACAGCACCCTAACAGCAGAAATAAAAAAACTAATTCTAACAACATATACCATTTCTTATAACAGGAAAGAGATTGTTGTTATAGAGATGATGGGCTGAATGTGCCATAGTTTCCTTCTTTTATTCAGTTCTGTTTATGCTTTGTGTTTGTGAGTAGTGGGCCTTAGTTATGGGCCTGTTTTCTTCTTTTTCTTATTGTATTTAGTGCTGGCAGCCCTACTAAGGGTATTCATCTAATTGTATTCACATTAGAATCAAAAAATAAAAGATAATTTTTGGGGGACTAGGATCTACCACTGGTGTTAAGTCTGGAAATAATAGAGTCGAATTTTACTAAACATAAGAATTTCCACTGGGCTGAAATTTAGCTCTACAATCAGCTACCCCCACCCTAATAACTTTCATTTATGGACCACTGAACTTGGGGGACCCATTGAAGACCTATGAGCAACACATTCAAAACTTGGAATCTCCTGCTAACTTCTCTAAATTGCAGATTGCCCCTTGTCTCCTTTTTTTCTTCTTTTTCACCTGCATCACATGTCCTAATAAGATAACTACAAGTAATCACTAGGGTTGTGTAGGTCTCACCTTGTGATTTCTATGATATATGGTTATAACGTTTCTAACATCCTGCAAAAGGTGAAGTGGTTAAAGTGGTTATGACAGCTTTGAGGATTTTGGTTTGCTATCTTGCTGCAGGCTTTTTACAACGGTGAGGGACTCGTTAGGATTAACGTATGATGTATCCTTTGAATTAAGCCTTTTTGATCGGCTGAAGTTTGGATGGTACGTGATATCAGTAACATCAACTCCTGGCAAGGTGTGCATTCTGTTCATTTCTTTGTATATTTTATCCTTAGTTTCTGATTCCATTATTTAACTTAACTAGTCTGATATCAAACTGAATTTTAGGTTTATAAGGCTGTTGATGCATGCAAGAGTGTTCTTAGAGGTTTAGAGAACAACAGAATTGCCCAAAGAGAACTGGACAGGGTTAGTACTTCACTTTATTCCTATAATGCTTACCTCATTCTTTTGTACTGTCCCTGTTCATTTGTACAAACTAAAGCTTTCTTTTGAAGAATTATGTGATGAATGGAATCCAAACTTAGCTGTTTAAGGGTCAGAATTTCATCTTAACAAATTGCTCAATAGCTTTATTTTGTGAAAGATAAATTAATTTTTCTATTTTCAATTTTCTGCTGTAGTAGTTTTTTGTTTTTATTTTTAGCTTTCACAGTGTGGACATACATTCACTTGACATGTGCTTGTTGGTCTTATTTTTCCTTTGTCCACCATGTTGCTCCAGAAAGCATGGATTGATCTTACAGCCATCTTATAAAATTTATGATGGATATGAAAACATTCATGCTTTATGGAGGAGAATGTTAGAGAATAGATAGAAAAGGGAAATGTTAAGATGGGTGATTGACCAGATAAGAAGGATAAATTAAAAATTCTTGCAGACTTTTGCTTCATTTAGTTTTGCAGACTTGTGCTTCATATTCGTTTGATGCAGATCAAAGTCCCTAAACACAGGCATAAGGCTTCAAAGAATGTGATAGTGAGAAGACAATTGGTGGAATATGTGTTTTTTGATATCATGGAATTAATTAGGTCTTATGTAGTTGACCTAAATAATTGGTGTTAAGGTTCACAGGAAATTGATTATCTACAATTCTAGAGCAAAAAAAGGTTTATGTCTGCACACGTGGATGTAATTAAGTTCATTGACTGCAACAATTTAACTATTGCAGGCAAAACGTACATTGCTGATGAGGCATGAAGCTGAAACCAAGTCAAATGCATATTGGCTTGGATTACTTGCTCACTTGCAAGCTCATTCTGTTCCAAGGAAGGTAAATTGGGAAGAGACTATATTCTCAACCTTAGTATAATCTCCTGAATGAATATGGAATTTATACATAGAAAGCTATTTCATCATCTAAGCCTGTCCCAACTATATGGCTAGCTACATGAATCCTGTTTTGCCACTCTTTTGCCATATCCATTGTCAAATTATGGGCGCTTAAATCCTACTTCCACCCAAGTCCTTTTCAGTCTGCCCTAGCTCTTCTAGCCCCCTAAATTTGTAGCAGATCACTTTTTCTAATGGGTTCTATAGATGACTTAATATGCACATGACCAAACCACCTGTCTATTTTCTGATCCTATCCTTTATAGTTTTACCACTCATCCATCTGAGCATACACATTTCTGCCACATTCAATTTTTTTACATGTCCTTAGTTGCCCAACAATCTCCATACAGAATAGCTGGCCTTACAACTGTTTTGTATAGAGAGTTATACATATTTCCTTTTTAAATACAGGAATATAGCAGATGCTAGATTACCATGAACATTTTTTTAAATACAATGTCATAATTGTTACACTAGTCATTTTGTTTAGGGGAATGCTAAAGCTACAGTGGAGCTTCTCTCTGTAGCTGCTATGAATGCCTTAAACAGGAACATTGTGTTGGGTCCACAGCTCAAAACAAAATTAATAGCACACTAGACACCACATCATGTTCGTGCTATATGTGACATCATAACAGCTACAGTAACAAGCTTACCATAGTGCTACCATTCTTCTTTTACTTAATTCAGCATTGTTGGATAAGGCATTTGCCCTGTTATGATTCTGGAGTTCAGGATATATCTTGCATCAAAGACCTCTCTCTGTTGTATGAAGCTGCCACTATTGAGGACATATACCTTGCATATAAACATTTGAAGGTGGATGAGCATTCTTTATTTTCATGCATTGGAATTTCTGGGGCTCAGGCTGGTGAAGAGCTCTCTGGTAAGACATTTTTACCATTATTGTTCTTGTTTTTGTAGTAATAGTAGCAAGGCACCACTGCCTGGTATAGTGGTAAAATCTTGGGTTAACAAGCATGAGAACATGGGTTCAAGTCTGAGAGCAGCCAATTTGTGCAAGAAAATGCTGAAGGTTAGGTTTGTATCCAGTCTGCCCATCCCAAGACTCCAGATGGCTGGGGTCAACATTGGGTAGTACTTATCTTTAAAACACCAAGCTTTTAAAGCATAGTATTAGCATATTAAATCGAACACTTGTATACATATCATTGTCCTTATTCTCAAGAAATGGAGTGATATGCCCATGCCACGTGTTTACGTCAATGTTTGTACTCATCAGTTTTTGTCATTGTGACTCCTGGCAAAGGGGTCCCAACAATGTCAAAACATTTTTACTTTTGTTAGTAATACCACAAAGATTGATATCATTTTCTGAGTTAAAAATCTTCAAAAAGTAACTTGGAATATCTGTGAACATTCCAGGAATCTGTAACTCATTCAATGAGAAATTAAAATCATCACCTGAGAATGCATTTGAGCCTTTCTTGAGTGACTCTGACTTCTCAAAATGCTGAAATCAGAATGACTCATACTGGCAAACACCCATGGATTACAGATTATTGGCTGCTTAATGCTCAAAAACCTGTTGTACAAGCATGTGTTAATAATCCTATGTGGTAATGCTGATAAAGAGCTGTTTTAGAATGTGAGAACTTTCTCTAAAACGAATACTCAGAAAAGAACCAGTAGTAAAAGTAGCATGCAGAACATGTGGTAAAATTTGATTCAAGACTCCTATGTTGCTGCTTAAGATAAAGACATTAGTAATTCTATGTCGATTGGCACTGACTTTTAAGCATACTCTGGTCCAGGGCTGCAACTTGGGCCAGGTTAGCCCAAACCCAACATGAAAAGGTCTGGTTGGGTTGGGTCAGGTTGATGTTCAGGTAGGGCTAGCTTTGACCTTTGGCAACCTGACTTCACTTTGGGTTGGGTTAGGGTTGATCCTTCATGCAAACCTGACTCTACCATTACTAATGTACACATGTATTATAGTTCTGCTGCATATCATAATTTTAACTCTTAAACCCTAAACCTAATGATAAGTCATTAATGGTTCTCATGATCTTTTCTTTGGTTCATAGGACCTTTTAGTGTGGTTTGTGATAGCCTTAAACTTTTTCAAACTTGAATTATTTGGTTTGGCTTCAGAATTGAAATATCAACATCAATCTTTGATATGATATAGATTTTCTGATGGCTTCCAGATCTTTTTTCTGTGATTTATAATGTCTTTCGTTCAAAATTATTCCTTCTGTCCTTGAATAAATTCTTCTTTTCTCTTAATTGTTTCTACTTTCCAGCATCCTTAGAAGAGGAAGAATTAGATACAGGGCATCAGGGGGTTATCCCCATTGGACGTGGTCTATCAACAATGACACGGCCAACAACATGATCTTCTTGGAGCTCGAACTAATGTGATCTTGTCGTCTTCCATAGTAAAGGGATCTTGAGCAATAGGAGGTATGTGTCTTGCGGGCTTCCTTGGTAGAGATATATGAACACATAGATGGAGTTTTTAAGATTGCAGTTACATCACCCTCTTTTCATTTGCCTTTAATTTGAAACTAGGAGGTCGTGTACATGGTGATTTGAGAAGCAATTTTGATAAAATGGGACGCACTCCTAATGAAGGTAAACCACCTTTAACTTTTTGTTTAGGGACATGCACAGTTTATACTAAATCACCACCTTCTTTTCTATTTTAATTAACAGAGGCATGAAACCTGATTGTCTGTTCCAAATGAGGGTTGGACATTCTAGGCCAAAATAAGCTTCCGAATTTTTCATAATTTAAATTTATAAAAGTTGAATTATGTTACAAATAATTATTTTGCTTGTTTATATATGGAAACTTAATATTATTATTTCAATTATTTTGAGTTGATTTTTTTCATAAACTCTCACTTCTCTGTTAAATAAAGGTCTATAGGTCATTTTTTTTTTCAATACCTAAATTGATATTCTCGTTGGCTTCTCCTTACTTCCCGTGGAACCCTCTAACTTGTGTTGAGAAATTTTCAAAATTTTGGCAGTAAGATGTGACAAAGCTTTCTAATTTGAGTTCGGTTGGAGTTTCACTTAATGTTCTTATGGCTCCGTTTGGGAGGAGTGTAAATACAAATATGTACCGTACAGATACAAGGTTTAGAAATACTATACATAAGGTTTTGCACTGTACATATTTGTATTTGCAATCTTTCCAAAGTGAGCCTATATAAGAAAAGAAATTTGAAAAAAAAAAAAGAAAGAAAAAGGGATGGCATCTATACATTGCATGCCTGCATTTATGCATTCTATCGACTGATTTAATTAGTAGTAGCTATTTTTCATTTTGGTAAAAGCGATTAAAATTGCAGGAATTCTCTGAACATGGTGGAGAGGGGAAATCATCAGGGACGCCTAATGGGAGCTACAAAACTGTTAATATCATATTGTTTTCAAGTTAAAAAGTTTTTTTGTTTGACGAAATCTATTCTTTCAAAAGCAATATAGTCCGCAAGGAATATTATCCGACCAAGTAAGCCCTTTACCTTAACCATATATTTTTCTTTTCCTTTGTTTTCCTTTTTTTTTTTGGTTATGTACCAAATAAGACATGGAATTAAAAGTAGCATTTCACCAAAGAGAGTATAAAAAGAGATCCTATTCAGAATATGTGGCTGGATAAATGCCAGAATTAAGAAGAGGTCCAATCCAGATTCTTTGGCTGGAACAGGCAGTTGTCCCTCGTACAGTGAAACTGTATTAGTAGATACTATTTTTTTTTTCACTCCGATTGTTCAGGGTTTGATGTCCTCTGATTCTCTGTTCTTAAAGCGGTCAAAATTTTTCTGTTGCTCTTATATTTGCCTAAGTGCTATTGGTTGATTTTCAGACCGTGCTCACACTTAACTCACAACCTATACTGGAAATATCTTCGTACTTCTGTGTTTTTTTATTCATGGGAGATATTCTCTTTGCAAGTAGCTGTGAGGACATAATCCGAGTTCCTCCAAAGGCCAAACCAAAAGGGTAGGGATATGTTACCAACAAAAATGCTCTCAATACTGTTCCAATAGGCCACTGTTGCAAATTCGTGTGGGTGTTGCACAGAGCGTGTCCCACAAGCACAGCACATCCGAACGATATATTGGGACTTCTTATCTCCCATTGACAAGTATGGAAGATGTTCGCTTACATATTTATGTGCGGCACCTGTGGGGTGTGCTTTGTGGGGTGCTAATCTGAAGTTCACTGCAGCTTCCTGCCTTCCTCTCTTGTCATTCATGTGAGATGTTCCCCATGTATTATAAGGGTTTGTTGGGACAGTGTTGGGAACATGTCTGAATTTATATCAAAAAGGGGTTTCAGAGAAGGCCACATTGCCCACGTAATCTTATCCGTGGCTATATAAATGCCCAACCACATTTGCTATGACAGTGTCATATCCTTAAGCTGAAACAGGTAAATCAAAGCTTTTGATTTGTTATCATGGCCCCACTTTGAATTAGATAAGTTACTTCTTGATGGGGTCATTGTATCAAAGGCAATGATTTTCTGTTTTAGCCCTGTATTACTACAGTATCGTAGCAAAAGTGAATTCTATAAAGGGTAATTTATAAACTATCTTTATGGTTTAGTTAATTGATTAATTCTATCCTTATTGTTTACTATTATTTTAAAGTGCATACTTTACATATTTGCATTTGTACTCCTTCCAAACCGAGCCTGAGTTACAATTGACTAATTACTCCCTTATAGTTAGGGTTCCGTTACCATGTGGCTGTTATATTTTGAGAAAATGACAGTAATACACTTTCTCCAAAATTAAAGAAAAATGGTATCGTCGTTCAACGGATGGTCCAAGTAGAGTCACCAAGGAATGCCGGTGGTTGTGAAATGCAACACTGATTGGTCCATGGTTGAGTTAGAAAGTCCTTTGGAAGATGATTTTCTCCTCAGCAATGTGGCTAAAAGTTTCAACAAGTATAGAGGATAGAATGCCATAACCAGGGATTTTCACGGTAGCTATATCTGGCACCACTAATTTGCATGATTCCCCTAAGAAGCCTTACCTGTGTCTGGCCCAAGATGGGTTTGTGAAGAGAATGTGTGGTTCGTTTGAGTCATCAAAATCGTCACCGATGAACAATAATCCTATATTGGTTGATACGGAGGTGAAGAAATTGAATTGTAATACATACAAGTCCCCGCCGTCAGCAGTGGCACAGACGGAGGTTTCCAATTCTCCATCAAAGCCTCTTTGGTAGCACTTGGAGGAGGAATCACTGCTTGCTAATTTGGATCTCAACGTGGCTTCTAGTTTCAGGTGAGCTTTGGTTCGAGATGCATGCAGCCAACCCTATTTCAGGCGAGCTTTGGAACCCTGTTTCAAGTGAGCGCTGGTTTTAGGTGAGTTTCAGGCGAGTTTTGGTCTGAGAYGCATGCTGCCAACCCTGTTTCAAGTGAGCTCTGGTTTTAGGTGAGTTTCAGGCGAGTTTTGGTCTGAGATGCATGCTGCCAACCCTGTTTCAAGTGAGCTCTGGTTTCAGGCGAGCCAACCCTATCGGTTACTAGAAGCGGTGGCCTAGATGAGGGCATAGGTTGCCAGATAGCCTTTGACACCATTGATCTCCACCGCAGGACCTAAAACGTGAAGTTGCAAAAGGTGGACGAAAGGAGATTAACATCTCTGGCACTGATCCAAACCCAGTCAACCACATTGGCGCAAAACCTTTGGATCTAACAACCAAATGGGCCACAAGCAAAGGGTTTTCCACAGCCTGTATCAGGGGGAAAAAATCAATCGCCTAATATCGCTTTTTCATAACAAATTACAGACCGAGGCTGTTGGGCACTTGGGCTTGACACAAAGAGGTCAGTGAGTTTCTTTGACTGACTACAGTATGTAAGAGTTAAAACCTCTATCTAATGATCGTTACGCCGGCGGCCAGCCTGTGCTACGGCATAAATAGTGATATGAGGATCATTGTTGCCAATTTGGAAGGTGTTTATTGGTCAGAGCCCTTCCGATCGATATGATGATGTCTTTCCTTCCCGCAGCATAGTTTTCTTACTTCGACTATGATACCAGTAAGACTTGATAGTGATAGTGGAAAAAACTGGAAATCAACCAAGTGACCAACTGGTATAATAAAGGCTCAGTTTGGAAGGAATATAAATACATACAAAATAATACAAAATACAGTTTTGCACTCTACAAAATAATACAAAATAATTATTTATCAAATTCATGGGGTTTTAATTGGTCAAAACTCTTTCAAGATGTCATGTCTTTTAAGTAATATAGCATTTTCGCTTTGGATCAATAAGGTCATCATGTCTTTTAGGCAGCATAGTTTTTTCCTGTAGTAAAGATTGGTTAAATATACATGTTTTTAATACATAAAATAAAAAAAAATGCATATTATAATGTAAATATGTATCTAAAAATTAATTTGTATAATATAAATAAATGTTTAAAAATTTAAAAACATATAAAAAAGTTTCCAAACCCATATTTTTCAAAACCTGAATTATGCCTTCTTTGAGTCTAATGATTTTATTAAAGTTCAGCATGTCTGAAATAATAAGAATAGATTATTACCATCTACAACTAATGTCGTGAGGAAAGTAAGGATGAGACTATTATTTCAAATCGGATTTCCTGTCCACTATTCTATACCCACTCTCCATCCGCCTTGAATATCCACACATCCCCATTTTGTATTAGTGTATTATTAGCGGCGCCCGTGCTAAGCACCGGCAATGAATATCGAATTACTGCAATTGTAAAAAATTAAGAAGAAAAAAACAAAGATAGTTTAAAAACAAACAAGATTTCGCTTATTACAAAGAAACAGGATTTCGCTCATTTAAAACTGGTCAGCCCCGAATGCAGCCGGTGCAAAAATTGGATTGTATCTTGGGAGATCCCTTGGACTGATATCAGTCCCCAAACTAAAAACTAAGCTGACATGCTGTTGCTATTGCTGATATGGCATTTAATTTCCTTATCTTTCTACTCCCTTCAACTTTAACAAATCAATTTCTCTTACGGGTTGTTTCTGTTGATGGTCTTCCATATGCACACGACCCATCTACAGCAAAAACGGTGGTGGATTCCATTGTAAGACTGTATTAGTGGTTGAATTGTTTATTATTGGTATGAGATATAGATCCATTCTGGAACAACCCAGTAGCTGGAAATCTGAAACAATAAATTTCAGTTCACAGAATATGAATGATTAACAAAAATCCTGAAAATTAGACTATATAGGGCGGCCTCTGATGCGAAGGTCAGTGGCTCTGGATGCCATGGCTCTCAAGGCTTCCCTGGCCGAGGAAAAAGAGGTCCTTGTCCTTGGTTGCACATGATGAGCTCCCCCCCCCCAAGAGCCCCCATGAATTCTTCCCTCTGCAATCTAAAAGCCAATGCGACATCTTCCTTTTGACTGGGAACTCGTCTTCCTCTTCTCACACTCTGCTCTTGACTGCTCACTCCTCTTCTCCTCCAACTTGAACCCAATGTCTCCTCTTCCTCCTCCTCCACCTCAGTAGATGTTTCTCTTCTTCTAACTACTGTTCCTATTCTTCTGGGAACTGGGGTATTTCGACTTGCCTCTTCAGGGCTCCGACGCTCAGCTTCATGGCTATTCAGCATTCCCGATGCCTTTCTTGCTTTAACTTCTTTTGGAAACAGAAGTTGCACCGTGTTCCAAAGAACTATGTTCACTGTGCAAGATCGCCCATTGCTGCAAACTCAAAGGAAGATTACTTTTAAAGCCCATACAACTCCTAATAAAAGAAAATTCTTCAAATCTCTAATTTCTTACAAGCGTCACACCTAATTAGCTGCCTGCATTTTGGGCATCGCTTTCCACATTTATCAGCAGCCAATTGCAGGCATTTCTTGCAAAAGCTGCGAGACGAAAATCTCTATCAGGACAATAAATTCAAAAGAAATACTCAAAAGGAGGGAATTAATCCACTGAAGAGCAAGAAAATCATGTATTGTTTGAAGCAAATCTCAAGACAAATCTGTATGTCCAGATTACAAACTGGGCAACCAATATTAAGCTTAGAAGTTCCTTACCGCGCAAGAGAGCTCTTCCCTTAGTTTATCCATGCAAGGGAAAGATGAACCCGAATGAGAAACATCAGAAAATTCCTCTGGCAAAGAAGCTTTGCCTTCTTTTCTCTGCTTCTCTTCGATAACTTTACTTTTTTAATCCATCTTCTTCTCTGCAGATAATCATAAAGAAAAGAGAACCTCGAGCAAATAAGCAATCCAACATCTAGATATGACACCAAATAGAAAACGGAGTCCCCATTTCAAAAGAAACAAAGTTTAGATTATAATGGAGGAGAAACATTGAAAGGGGAGGAACAAAAAAGAATAAGAAACGTTACCCTCTCCAGCAGTCTCTTCATCATCAAGGTTAAAGACAGCAATAGGAATTGAAGCAGGACTCCGTCTCTGTGCTATGTACTTTCTGGGAAGATGAAAAGAACAACTGATGTATCAAAAGTTGAAAGGAAAATATCACATGAGAGAATTGGAAAAAAAAGGGGAAGAAGAATTGGATTACCTTCTCGAACTGGTTTTTGGGGACTTAAACTGAAAATGGCCATGCTTCTTCTCTTTGGGTTCTCATTCTGGCGTATCTTCGACGATGAAACTGGCGATTAGGAGCGATTCTTCGTCCCAACCCGCCATTGTGGCAAAGGATCGGAATCTGGGACTGATGATGCATTCTGTGTTTCTCCTATCTTCGACAGCAACGCATTGAGGGGAAAAAAGAGAGAGGATAGGCGGAAGATAGAGAGGGAAAGAGGAAGAAGAATCGGAAGAAATATGGAGTATGGACAAGTGTCACCTTATGCAATGAAAAAATATAAAGTATGAACACGTGTGATATCATGCAATGGAGAAGCTCTGGTCTACAGTAGGGATGCTAAACCGAACCGAGGGGGAATTTTCTGGACCGAATCGATACAACCGGTTAACCGGTGGACCAGTTAACCGCGGTTCGGTTTTTTGGGTTTTTTGTGCCCTTAAAATTAAAAAGAAAAAAAAAAGAAAAAACACAGTCAAAGAGAACTTGGATCGCCAGTGTTGCCGAGATGTAGTAGCCTCTAACCCGTAGTCGAGCCTCTAGTGTCGCCAAAGCAGGAGGGATCGCCAATGTCTGAGGCCGCCGATGAATCGGTCGAAGGGTGGAGCGCCAAAGGCTAGAACCCAGAGAGAGAATCCGAGAGGCGAGAGAAAGAGAGAGTTCAGAGGGAGAGAAAGAGAGCTAGAGAGAGACTGAGAGGCGAGAGAGTGTGAGTTCAGAGAGAGACTAAGAGGCGAGAGAGAAAGAGAGAGAGAGAGAGAGAGAAAGAGAGAGCTAGAGAGAGACTGAGAGGCGAGAGAGAGTGAGTTCAAAGAGAGACTAAGAGGCGAGAGAGAGAGAGAGCTCAGAGAGAGACTGAGAGGCGAGACAGATAGAGAGAGAGAGAGCTAGAGAGATTGAGAGGCGAGAGAGAGAGGGAGTATGAGAGAGTGAGAGTCCGAGAGAGAGAGAGAGAGAGAGAGGGAAAGAAAGGGATCTGCGCAATGGGAGTTAGACGACTGAGACTGTTAGTGTTAGACAAGTTGTTCGCCAGTCTCCCAGACTGGCGAACCTGAAAGTCTCAGGCTCTCAGTTCGGCAGTCTGAACACTCACACTGTCGAACGTTTTTATTAGATTTTTTAAAAAATAAAATATAATATTGTATAAAAATATATCTCGGTCGGTTTGGTTAACTACCGGTTTTTTAAATGGTTAATCGAAACTTTTGATTTTTTGAAAGCATTGAACTGACCGGTTTGATTAACCAATTTTTCGGTTCGGTTTTTCGGTTTTTTTGCTCACCCTTAGTCTACAGTAAGATTCCATTTTGCCCCTCAGTGATAACGGATATCTTACGAATGGAGATGGTACTTGTTAGGATTGGCAACGGGGTGAGATCAGGTTAGGGTCTATATTCCCCGTCCCCAATCCCAAGCTTGAAACAAATCCCTATTTCTGACCCTTATCCCCATCCAAGATAAAAATGACTCTCCATCCCCAGTTTCCCACAAAGACGAGTTCTCCATCAAGAAACTGAATCCTCAAAATTTTAAAACTAAAATTACTTTTAAAAATATTTTTAATTAAAATAAGGGAATTTTAAAATATAAAAATGTTTTAAATATATTTTGATATAAATAATATATATATATATATATATATATAATCAATGTAAGGGCAGCGAATTCATTTCCATCCCTCATCTTGTCCCATCCTCACCAAGGCAATCTCATCCCTGAAGAAGTTGGATACCCAATGGGGATGGAGAAAATTGTCAGGCCTATTTGGTGCCTTAAGAGTGGATATTTTACAAATAAAAATGGCTGGCGGCAAAATTCCATAGTAGTATGTGCTTGTTGCCCACTGCTAACCACCCTCAAGGGTACGTGGGCGGAGCCCCCTTGATATGGATTCATAGTGCAGGGAAATCGTAGCCAAGTCAGTCACATTTGGATATCGCATTGCAGATGGATGTGCAATAGCTAGGTTGGTACCGCAGATCGCATTAGGGTGATATCGCATATTAAAGTAGCTTGATATCGTAGATCACAGTAGTCTGGTACGCAATCTAGACTCGTAATTAACGGGATCTCATAGGATTTTCAAGATCTGATTCATAACAGTTTTGTGGGAACAACCGTGGTTTAGGGTTTTCTCGTATAAATAGCCTTGTATCTTACCCTAAAAGCAATCAATCTTGTATCATATATCTTAGGGTACAAGAGAAGAGTACAACAAGAGTGATTGAGAGAAATAGAGGAGTCAAAACGTTAGGTATTTTGGGAGCTAGATAGTGGATTTCTTCTCTTCTTATGCCCCTGAATATAGGCTATAAACTGAACCACATTAATCTGAGTGTGTGCTCTGTTGTTTTTTGTGTTTTTAAAGTTTCTCTACTAACCAACTGCACCATTTATTTCATTCCTGCTTTATTAAAATCACAACAGTCCTTTATTGAATGAACATTTCTTATCAACCACATCAATCTTCCACCAGGAAAAAATAGAATATAGGGCATTGAAAAGAACCCCAACTGACCCGGATTATCAAACCTTTCTCCCAAGTTCCCAACCTAACAATAAAGTCAGCATCATCAGTGGATATTTGTCCATTATAAGCTCATGTTCCTTGATTGTTGTTTTCGTTGAGATTATTATAAATGTAATATGTGCTTATCAAGGTACCATAGTATGACATTAACCTGTAACCAAAAGAAACCAAATGCACCAGTTGATCTTGCTTCACAACAAGCCCCTATCTATAGCTATTATAATGCACTTCGTTTCATAAATTGAATATGATAGAGAGGAGAGAGAGAGAGAGAGAGATGGCAAGGATAATCAAGCCCCCACCTTCTCTAGGGAAGATGGTTACAGTACTGAGCATTGATGGAGGTGGTGTGAGAGGCCTAATACCAGGAACCATCCTCGCCTTCCTGGAATCCCAGTTGCAGGTAAAGTGATGAACCATAAAAAGAAAAAACAGTGAAAATTAAAGGAGCTGATTTTTCATTTTTCTTTTTATTTTCATTTGTTGGGGGAGGGGGGTCTTTCAAACTCCTTAATTTTGAATGTCATGAATATTACTTAATTGATTGAACAATCGACACTTGTTATTAACAAGGAAGAAAATGAAGAAGAAGAAGAAGAAATGTGAAATAAAAAAAAGGAAGAAATAATGGTAGCAATCTGCTGATACTACATATATGTATGTCTTACTTGTGTTAATTGGTGTTGTTTGTATAGAAACTGGACGGGGCGGAGGCCAGATTGGCCGATTATTTCGACGTGATAGCAGGAACGAGTACCGGCGGCCTAATTACCTCCATGCTTACAGCTCCTAACAGCAACAACAGGCCCCTCTATGCTGCCAAAGATATCAATGCCTTTTACCTTCAACACTGTCCCAAGATATTCCCGCGTAACAGGTTAGTTTTGTCCTCCGAGTGGCCAATTACGTCCTTCTGAGCTCTGACTCCCGACCCTGGCCGGTGTGTCCTCCGGCACCTTTTTCGTTTTTCATATTATCATGAATAATCAAAGGTTATAGCTGCATGCAGTCATAAATCATCATAGGTTATTGACTAACCAATTCAGGGGTTCAACATGATGTCGGAAAGACATGATAGCAGAAATATTTACAATCAATCATGTAGATTTTCATCAAAATTTACAGGGAATTGTGATTGGTTACAGCCTTTCTGATATCATATCTTTTGGACATCATAGATCTTCTCATGACTCAGAGGCCTTGTTCGTTTTTCCATACCTGGGTAATGTATTTTTCCGGCTCCCAGGAAAAAATTATCCAAGTAGCTTTTAAATCAAGTATTCTTAATGTGCCATCACTCACTTACTCGGGTATATGCAGGAAGGAACTGAGTACATTTTTGGTGGGTGGATAAGCAATTTATCCACCCTTCAAGGGAGTATTGATTATAACAGCAGTCAGATACTCTCCACATGCAAAAAATCATTTTGCATAAGACCCATGATAACAGTGAGAACACGAATAAATTGATCAATACTACTATGGCCAATGAGATATTATCTCTACCTGCATGTAGAAAGTGCAATCGTATGGCCAATAAAAGTCTAAAATGTGTCAATGAAAGTGCAACCGTATCCCTCCTGTCCTGCATAGAAGTGCCAATGTCTTCATTTGGATGCATATTGGAAGAGGAAGTTTCTTGGAACAAGGAGCATGATAATGATTTTTCACCATGCATTTTTTTTTTTTACGTGGGACCCACTAATTGCAAGTTTTTTTTATTAATTCTATCTGCGCACAGTATGTCTGGAAAATGAAAGAAATACCATATTAGCGTCTGTTTGACATCGATGCCATTGTTTGGAATCGTTTTTCAATAAGAAAAACGATGCTCTAGAAAATGTCTGTTTGGAATCGTTTTTCTATAAGAAACAGTGCTTTAAGTCATGTCTTGGAAATCGAAAATGTATGGTTTGGAGCAATGTCGAATTTAGAACGAAAACGTGATGCGGCAGTGACGTGGACTTCCTATAATGATACCTGTGCTGAAAACGGAAATGTATCACTTCTACCAAACAGAAAGTGCAGTGCTGTTGTTGCTTCAAGAAATGTCCTACCTGACAGCAACATTTCCAAAAGACATTGTTTTCTGACCCACACATTAACAACACCGTACTGAATATACAGCATCGATGCCAAACATATACTAAAACAGTTAGGATCATTGGATCAAGGTTTTGATAGTTTAATTAACCATCAGTTTGATGGTGCAGCCACAGCCTTTAAAAACCATTAACCGTAGAAAAGACGGAGCTTAACATAAAATTCTTTTCAAAGGCCGAGTCCAAACAAAGTATATATATATTACAAATTAAAAGGGGATAGCTGAAGTGGATGATACATGGCAACAGGGGTTCGTTGGGTTCGGCAATGAGCTTAATGGGTGCAGTTATGGGACCCAAGTTCGATGGAGTATATTTGCGTTCTCTGTTACAAGAGACCCTTGGGGAGACAAGGCTACACCAAACGTTATCTACCGTTGTTATTCCTACTTTCGACCTCAAGCTTCTTCGGCCTGTCATATTTTCCACCTATGAGGTACGTACATACGCGGCCATGCTTCAACTACTATCCTCGTTCACAATTGCTCATTGTTGTGTAATTTGATGATCTTTCTTGACAAACACATCCTCCACCTGCATGTAGAGAAGTCGAAATTTTAATTACAGAAACAGAGAGAGAAAGTATGTTGAACTCTAACACAAGCAGAGTGGGTTTGATAATTTGTTGTACACAGGCGAAAAGGGATGTTGGGAAGGACGCTCTTCTTTCTGACATCTGCATAGGCACATCAGCAGCTCCGACATATTTCCCCGCTCACCACTTCAAAACAAAGGATGCCCAGGCCAAAACCAAAAGTTTCAACCTCATCGACGGTGGCGTTGCTGCTAATAACCCTGTTCGTAATTAATTCTACACTCCCATTGATTCAGTTTATTCTTTTAGATCTTAAAACTCAAAGCTCCGTTTGGATATAAAAATTCTTATTTATGATGTAATTTAATATGTTAATATTATATTAATTTAGTAATAATTAATAAATTAATATATATTATATATTATTAATATATAATAGGGAAAATTCCGGATTAGTACCTTGTATTTTGGATCTAGTGCCACTAGCTGTTAGCCAGTCGTTAAGTGGCATTTGAAAAAGACACAAAGGCCCTTCAAGTGTTATTTAATTTTCTTTAACAACCATCTAAACGTTGATAAAAACTTAACAGTCCCAAATCTTTGCCTTTTTCTATTCAAAAAAGTTGGGGTCATGTTTGAATGGATATTTTGGTGACCCCAACTTTCTTAAATAGAAGAAGCAAGGATTTGAGCCTGTTAATTTTTTTAAATGCTTGGATGGTTGAAAAAGAAAATTAAATGACACTCGAAGGGCATCTGTTTCTTTTTCAAATGTCACTTAATGGCTGGTTAACAGCTAGTTAACAGTAGGTACTGGATTGTTATGTTTTAAAACTTCGGGTGCTAAATTGTCTTATTTTAAAGTTAGGGGACCAAAGTGACACTAAGCCCAAAGTATAAGGTATTAATCAAGAATTTTCCCTATATAATATTATCGGCCAAACTTGAATTCGGATCAGACTTGTTTAAAAAGGGCTAAACCTGGCCTAAAAAAAAATAATCGGACTGGGTGTTTAAAGCCCCAAGCCTATGGGCCTAAAGTTTTATCCAATTGGGCTACTCGGCCAGTGAACTAGTTATTTTATTTGTAAGACCATGGTTTTGAATACTCTGTGGTCTGTCTTTTAGATTCAACTATGATGACCAAAAGACATGATATCTAAAAAATGTATAGCCAGTTAAAGGGTATCATAAAAGTGATAACCAATTAGGTAGATTTTCATCAAAATTCACGGAATTTTTGATTGGTCAAATCGTTTCTAGTATCGTATCTTTTCAAACATCATATATTTATCCCTGTCTTTCCCCATATAGGCCAGAAAGTACTCTAACCACTCAAATTTTGCTCACTGGTTCCAATCCACTTTGCAATATATATATATGTGCAAATTCCATATATGTTTGATTATATAGGAAGATGCTAATTAAAATTGTATCCCATTATTATGATATATGTAGGCATTAGTCGCAATGAGTGAAATCACAAAAGAGATAATTATGGGAAACCGTGATTTCTTCCCCATAAACCCATTGGCTTACCATGGAAAATATCTAGTCATCTCTCTGGGCACAGGAGCACCCAAGCTGGAAGGCAAGTATAACGCTGTGGTAGCCTCTAAATGGGGATTGGTGGGATGGATGTACCATGGTCATAGGGCCAAACCTCTCATTGATTGTTATGCCCGCGGAAGTGCTGATTTGGTTGATCTCCATGCTTCCGTTCTTTTCCAAGCACTCCGTTCTCAAAACAATTACCTTCGAATCGAGGTTCGTTTTTCATCCTTTTCTTTTCCTTGCTTTTCATTTCTTTTCATCTTAGGCTCCCTCTGGCAAGAGTGCATGTATGCTTTTTTTTTAAATACAAATATATCTTTAAATATATACATAAATATGTATGTGCATTTTCATTTGACAGTATCTCTGAGATAAAACTATTTATAATTCATGGATAATTTTTTAATAGTTATAAATGAACAGTTTATGAACAGTTATAAGTGGTCAGTTTCTAAAATGAAAGGTAAAATGCATTTTCTTTTTCTTCTATTCCATTCTTCATCTTTAATTACCTTATTTAATTAATCATCTATTCATTTGAGTTTTGGACAACATGATTCTAATAGGATAGGTTTCATCCGTAATAAAAAGGAGAAAGAAGAATATTAAGAAACAACGTTGATTTGGTCAGCAATACAATGACCTAACATGAAAGCCTTGTTCGCCTTGTTTGTTTTGTTTGTTTTTTATCTTCTCCTCTCCATTTTCATTTATTTTATCTAACATGGACAAAATTCTCCTTAACTCCGTTTCTCTCCTGCATCTTTTCAAGAGAGAAGAGTTTAGGAGCCAACAACCATGGATAGAAAATGGATTTCTAATTCATGTTAGATAGCTTTGACAAAAATAAATATATAAGATTTAGAGGAACGAAGTCATATTTATATATAAAAATAAACTTAATTTCTTCCTCATACATGTGTCTATCCATTCTGAAAGAAACAATAGTAGTTAATTCCAATCTTAGAATGTGTCAAGTTAAAACATGTGGCTACCCCTAAAGGAACCCACTTCAAAAGATGTGGGACTCATATTGGTCTTTCTAATTAAGTTTCCTAATTCAAATGAAATATTCATTATAAAGACTTTCAATGGTGTGTCACATTCTTTTAGATAACTCAAATTAGATATATTAGACAAATAGTACTATGAATGCCAAACAAAAATGATAGGTGTAATTTACCCCTTACTTATATGGTGTGGGACTAGACTTGTTCATGGGTCGGGCTTGGGACCCAACTTTACACTATCTTGGGCTCAAGCTTCGGGCTGGGCCCATTAGAAATTTGGCAAAAGTCAAGCCCGAGCTCAGCCCATGAGAAGATATGTGGGACCCATTCTTCTAAATAAAGTGGGGCATTAATTATAAATATTACCAGATTTAATCTTTTAAATCAAATAAAAATATATCTATCAGAAAATCAAAAAATAAAATAAAATAACCTAAATTTACAATATAGATAATGGGTGTCAAATGAAATAGTCCAAGTTAAAAAAATGAAATAGAAAAGTGAGAATAGTTAATTTCACTTCAAAAGATGTGTAGCTATATTATCTTTGCAATTAATCTCCTATTTCATTTAAAAGACTCATTGTAAGGATTCTTAATTACAAATTAAATCTTGTTTAATTTTAAATTAAATAAAGAATTCAAATTAGATAAAATACTACATAAATAGTGGATCTTAAATAAAAATGATATTATTACAAATAAACAGAAAAGAATAAAATGATATAGAGGTATAGTTGCCCCCCACTTGGTAAATGGTCATTCTTTAGTAAATATAACATATTGAATGAAAGCATTTGTTCTATGTTTTTTATTTTAGAAATTAAACTAAATTAATTTTGAACAAAACAAAATGGCAAAATAGGATTCGTGCATGTAACTAACCCTACATAGAGGTGTAAAACGGGTTGTGCCCTGTGGGCAGCCCACGCAAAGTGCAGACCATGTCATGTCGGCCCACAAGTCGTCTTGGGCCGTGCCGCCTTCCCCTAGGATAACTTGGGGGTCAGCCCGACATGGCCTTTGGCCCAAGCCCATGCGAGCCCGTGCCATGGGCCAAGCCTTGGACCAGGCCAGGCTGTGGATTGGGTCAAAGCTATTTATTTAAAAAATTGAAAAAAAAAACTTAAAATTTTAGTTTTATATGAATTTTGATGTATACATGATTGCTTATATATACAATAATTAAATAAATAATTAAATAAATTAGTATAATAAAATTGAAAATAATTGTTTATTTTATTAATATATTATATACTATATATTATTATATAATTATAATTTATATAATATATTATATTATATATATAAATATATATAATATGTATAAATGATATATATGCAGTCGTGCCGGCACGCAGGTTGCGGGTGGCACGACCTGCTCGGTCGTACCGTATTGGCCTGGCCCGTGGACCTAAAACCCCAAACCCAGCACAGCCCATATGATCGTATCGGGCCTGTCATAGCACACGGACCATCATGCCAAACCGGTCCAAATTCGTGCTGGGCTACAAGCAGCACAGCCCGATTTACACCTCTAACCCCATATAATTGGAATAATGCTATGATGATGATGATGATGAAATTAGATTTGATTGGTTACTAAAAAAAATAGTAGAATTTCAAAATAACAAGTGTGAGAACACAAGGTCAAGTTTAAGAGTAGCTATTTTGTGCAAAAATGTCAAAGATTAGATTTATATCCAGTCCACCCTTTCCAAGACCCTAAATTGCTAGGACCAACACCGATAATGGCCTCTTTTTGTTGGTTACTAAAAGACATTTTTAATGTAAATTAAAATTCATTTACTCTTTTCTAAGTGAGAGGCTACTCAGGGGCAGAGAAACCATCATTCCTTATATATGGATAGTATGTGGAAGAAGGGTAGACATGTAATAAAGTGGGTGCCCCCCAACCAAAAAAATAACTGAAATTCCCATTTAAATGCTAAGGACTACTCTCAAGTAATATAATAATATAATGTAATATAGCATGTATTAACATATATTAATATATTTATATATATTATGTAATATAATATAATTGGGGCCGGTTCAGGGCTGGGGTCGGGGCGGGTGGACAAATTTCATCCCCGCCCCATCCCCGATCTCCAGAGTTTTGGGTTTCCCCAAATTCAGAAAAAAATGCACCAACGGGGACAGGGCAAGGTGGGCTCCCACATGAACGGATCAAATTGTCATCTCTATTTCCCCCACCTCTAAAAACAAAAGGAAATTCTTGGCTCTGCCACTGAGGCCAGTCATGTCTAAACAAGAAGACCTCTTGTTTGAGGACTTTGTTTTAGTAAATATACTAGTAGCAGAGCTGGTGCAGTTGCATAAGTTTAATTAAGAAAAATGCAATTAATATAAGAGAACTGATTTATGGAATGAGAGAAATTAGGAGGAAAGATAATTTTAAGGAAATACAGTTTTGAAGTGGGATAGAAAAGTGGGAAGAAATTCAGAAATTAGAAAAGTTGAGAGAGAGAGAGAAAGATCGGATGCTTAATCTCATTTGTGATGTGTGTGTATACAGATATATATAACCATGTGATATATCACCACTTACACACAAAACCTTCTAACATTTTATGTTTCACACGGTTTACCTAAGGCCTCTTACTCAAATTCAAATTGTCAGTGCTAGGTATATTTCTTATAACCCCTATAGTATCTGTGTCAGAACTGGGCCCGGGTGTTTTTATCGGGTTTGGAAGCGGGTCAACTAATATCCGACCAATTGATTCTTTATACCATGGATCAGGCCAGGCACAATAAACAGGTTCAACACCAAAAATAAAATAAAATAACAAAAAAAAAAGTCCCAAACAGGTTACGGTCTCAGCTTTTGGCTTAATTTTCTACGGTTACAACAAAAACCAACAACAATATAATCATGACAACGATGATGATAATGGATATGAATGTGATGGTCAGGATGACAGTTTAGTTGGAGATGCTGTTTCAGTAGATATTTCAACAAAGGACAATATGGAGAATTTGATCAAGATGGGTAAAGAACTTCTCAAGAAACCGGTGTATAGAGTCAACGTGGAGACTGGATTGAATGAAGAGGTGAAAGGAGAGGGTACAAATGAAGAATCTTTGACTCGTTTCGCCAAGCTTCTCTCCGGTGAACGCAGGCTAAGGCTAGCTAAGTCGATCAGTACCATCTGAGTCTTGCACCTTCAACATCATCAACCTGAAATATTAATTATATGCGTCATATCTACCTAATTCATGAAATGACTGTGTTTGACCGGCCGGGTGGAATAACAATCTCAAATTTTCTAATGCATTTTATGTAAGGCAGCTTTTGCTATGATTTGGTTAATTTGGTTGATCAAACAGTGTAACCTTATATGCAATTAATGTATTGACAATAAGCTGGTCCCAAGAGGATTGACCTTGAAAAGGAAATTCATATTTGCTATATATAAAAAAGAAATGAAAATGCATGTAACCATTCGTAAACCAGTGTTTTTTTTTTTCTTCTTCTTCTTTTTATGTATAAAAAAAAAATGCGGTGGTTCAACTTGAAGGCTTGGGTTTAACGTGGTCAGCCCAATTGGTGGGACTGGGAAGAGTTCAGACCGGACGGGTTGAGCCCATTTGGTTCACAGGAATCAGAACTGGAATGGATTAATCATTTGGTTGGGCAGAATCATAATCCCATTCATTTCTGGTAGAATGGTCATTTTTTCCCCTTCCCTTTGGAAATGAAAATCCATTGCAACTGATTCTGATTTATTCCCGCTTCAATCTGAATCAAATAGGTGAAAGGAATAGATCATTCCAATTCTGCAGATTATGATTCCAACCGTAACCAAACACTTTCTAAAGGCATTAAAAACCTAAATACCTTGTTTAATAACTTACTGTCTTTGTGTTTGTTTGTTATCAATGTCGTTGCTCCAGAAAATGGCGATACATCAGCGTTACGTCGAAAAAAACAATGTTACAGGAAACGCCTATTTGGAACCATTTTTCCATAAAAAATGGTGCTCCAAGCCATGCCTTGGAAATCAGGAAGGTGTGGCTTGAAGCAACGTCGAATTTGGCGTTTCTTGGAGTTACAGCTTGATGCTGCCAACAGGGACATGAGGTGACAGTGACAGGGACATGATGTGGCACTGGATAATAGGTACCAGTGCTGAAAACATTTCCTAGAGCACTGGTACCAAACAGAAAACGTTGTTGTTGCTCCAGGAAACGTCCTATCTGGCATCAACGTTTCCAAACAAAAAAAAAAAGACTGTTTTCTGACCCACACATCAGCAAGAAAACGGTGCTGTATTTGCAGCATCAATGCCAAACATATACTTTGTCAACGTCTATCATCATGACAGCCTAAGCTCCATATTAACAAACGATTATCCAAATAGACTCAAAATTCATATGCCAATAAGCAAACTTAAGGGGGTGATTTTACCGACATGACAATTGTTTTTGTATATGTCTGGCATTGATGCTGCAGATATAGCACCATTTTCTTAGAAAATCATGCTGCTGGTGTGTGGGTTTGAAGTACCACTTTCTCAGAATACGGTGTCTTTTTTTTGTTTGAAAACGTTGCTGCCAGGTAGGACGTTTTTTGGAGTAACAGCAACGTTTTCTTTTGGTACCAATGCTCTAGGAAATGTTTTCAGTACTGGTCCTATTATCCAGTGCCACGTCATGTCCCTGTCACTGCCTCCTCATGTCCCTGTTGGCAGTAACAAGTTTCAGCTCCAGGAAATGCCAAATTCAGCATTGCTTCAAGCCACACCTTCCCAATTTCCATGGCGTGGCTTAGAGCATCATTTTTAGAAAAATGATTTCAAACAAACTGGCATTTTCTAGAGCATCATTTTTTCCAACATGACACTGATGTTTCACCATTTTCTGGAGCAACAGCATCGATGCCAAACAGACGCAAGAGATAAAATCATGAACCTGGGAGCAAGGTAAAAACATGTGCTTATAGGTCTTTCCTAAGCATTCAATCATCAACATCTTTAACTCTTTTTTTTTTTTTAATCGTTACATGGAAAGCTCTGGAAACGCATGCTTAACAAGAGAAAGTGTAAAAAATGGCTCTTTCAAATGGATTAGCTTTCTTGTTTTTGTAAGCAAGAAACAGAATTTTTTTTTTTCATTTATCCTTCAAATGCCATTTTACTAGAGCAATTTTGGTGTGTGAAACTCAGATTGAGTTTAACCCTAACAACTTAACACTACAAACCTGTATCCAATTCTTCGAGATTGGCTGAACTCCTCTGCTGGAATCATAGCATGTAGCATGCAAGAGATACAAATTTTTTCGGTTAGTTCTGCCTTCTATTATATTTAATTTAGAAGGCATGAACTAAATTGATCCTTGACTCAATTGATGCCAATAGACTTAATTCATAAACCAATGACTTACTTGTCACCTAGCAGCAGCATCCATAGTATGCAACTAAGGCCCCATTCCTTTGGGGGTAAGTTTGGGAGGGGGGAGTTGGTTTGGTCAATGGGAAATTTGACCAATTTTACCATACAAATAAAACTTTTTCCTATATATGTTTTTGGCAACTTACCTAAAATTTTTTTTACACACTAGGAAGTATATAGTTTATTTATCCATATAGGGGGAATTTGGTTATAAGACTAAAATATCCCTGTTAGAACAAAAAAAAAATAGTGATCCTTTAGGCTCCATTTGGAATGAGTGCAAATACGAATTTTTAGAGTGCAAAACCTTGTATTTTGTATTATTTTATATGTATTTGTATTTGTATTATATATATTTGTATTCATACTCTTTTCAAACTGAGCTTTAGGAAATTCAACCACCCATCTGACAAAAAAACATGGATAAATATATGTATCCCAATAAATGCATTTACCTGGATAAATAATTTACCACCAAACAAACGAGGCCTAAATTCTAATAATCACCATGAGTCAATTACCAATTCTCAATTTGTAATCAGTTATGGATTGATGGCTCTTATAACCTAAACACAACTCTTGCAAGACGAGTACTCCTCCTCCAGCATGTAGATTGTAGCGTCTTTACAATTCAAGGAAGTCCATGCATACTAAGCAAAGGGATGCTATGATACCAAAATACGGGCCTTAACTTTTGGCCTAGAAGCAGCTTCTTCTCAAACTCATATATAGTTTATTCTAACTCTAAGCAACTGATAGGCCCTTTGAATAAAGTAACAAAGCCCTACTATTGGATCAAGCAATTTCACTAAATTAATCATATTAATAGTTTTTAGGGAGAATGACAGTTCAGCCCAGGGTCAGAATTTGTAGGCCCAAAGTACTGTTGGGGTAGGTGCCAGATCGGAATTAATGTTAATTCATGGGCGGGCATTGGTACATAGAGTCTGCATTGGGTATGTCCGTACTTTTCTGTAGTTTTTTTATCCTCTTTTCAGTTCATCTTTTTTTACCATGTAAATAGATGTAGAAATCAGGATACTTAGGCTGCATTTGGAATCAATGTAAAACGTCACCTATGTAAAATACACTGATGACGTTTTACACTGAACCAGAAAGTGACTGTTGTTTTTTTGAAAAATAATGATGGGTGGAATAGTGTAAAGTTTTACATCGATAAAATCAATGTAGTTCTTACATTGGTTATCGATGTAAAACTTTAAAGCTGATGAAGTTTTACATTTATTATTGATGTAAAACTATACTCCTTCCAAATGCATACAAAACTGAACTGAAGTATAGTTTTACATCGATAACAATTACACCTTCTTTCTAAACACATACAAAACCGAACCGATATAAAATTTACTTCGATTCTTGATTTACATCACATCCAAATACAACCTTAATTTTAGTTTGACAAGAAACGTATATTTTTCATCGATATCGGAACCACATCAACATGTAACAGCTCACTTAGATCAGCTGTTACATGTTCTATTTATACTGTGACTGTACAGATAAGATATGTAATCCAGAAAGATAATGTGATAGGCATTATCACCTAATAGTTATATCAATCCAGGAATTTTTATTTTTTTTTGGTAAAAGGATACACTTAAAAACATCAAGGATACAAAAGAAGCCACCTTTTGGAAGAAAGAAGATTGGAAGTTAACTGGAGTATACCAGTACAAAAAGTCTTAGTTCCATTTACATTAGCTTTTTTTGCTAAACTATGAGCAATAGCTACATCTTTTCTATTTACATAGTGATAGAGACTCCACTATTGTTAAGTCAACAACAACGTCAAATCTGGAATTCACGTAACAGTTGCTGATGGAAGATTTCATGCTCGAGAATATAGGTCTTGCTCAGTTGTTCAAAATATTTATTACAATTGATGGAAGATTTAAAATTCAAAATCTTTGTATATTTATTACAATCAAACTTTGTATCTATATATGTACCATCCATTCGAAAGAATTTCCCATTCTTTCACTCTCTTCTTTCATGGCATTAGAGCCTATTTGAGACCATCGTCCCTTTCTTGGTCCTCTCTCCTTCTCCATGGCAAACTCTTAAAACTTAGATGCTACCCTCCCTCAAGTTATCTCATCTCACGATGATTCCAGCCCTAATTCTTCTTCCTCTCTTCCTAGAATCTCACTTTCTCATCTCACAAATTTAATCTCCGTCAAATTTGACAGAACAAATTTTTTGCTTTGACTCATTCAAACAATTCATGCGTTGAAAGGACGTCGGATTTTTGGGTATGTTGATGGTTCCTTTGTTTGTCCAGCTCGATATATCACTGATGACAATGACTAGTGCACTATCAATCCCTCTTATGATCTCTCGCAAGAACAAGACCAGTGTTGGGTGTGGGTCCAGCCCATATGAGGGGCCCACCCACTTTTATTTGCTCCCAAAATGAGTCACATAGTGAAAGCAAAAAAAAAAAAGGCTTCCACCTCTTTTTTGATTTGGGCATCATCTATTCATAACCGCCGGTTGTAAGACGCGAAGGAGAAGAAAACAGAGGATATCCGAGGGTTTTCTGGTTTTTTGAGTTTTGTGAAAAAAAGAAGAAAAGCTGGTTCTTATTCCATTCAAGACCAAGTTCGGAGGTGTCTTTCAAGCCTGTTCTTGATGAGGTTAAGTGTTAGAGTTAAGAATCCTTATCCAATTCAAATTTCTTGATTCTTCATTCTTCTTCTTCTCAGTTCAGATTTACAACAACTTGGTGAAAATCTAAACCTCTATTTGTGTTGTATTCACCTTGCATTTGGTGATGTTAATGTTGTTCTTATGAGCCAAGAATTATTTCCTTAGTGTTTGTAAGCCTCTAGTTGCAATTAGAGAAGACTGTTGTACTTATTAATTTCTGAATTAGTGAAAGACTTTTATGGACCATAGGTCTTGTGGTTTTTCCTCGAATTTGAGGTTTTCCACGTAAAAATTCTGGTGTGCTATTGTGTGGTGATTGTTATCTGTTACTTGGCT